GTCATTTTGGTGGATTTTATTGGCATACGAGGGTAAACGAGCCTAAAGTAAAATGGAGGGTTACGCGCCCAAAGGTAATATATAACAAACTGCCCGACAAAAATATTTATCAAATATTTTGTCACTTTAAAAATATTTATCAAATGTTTTTGTCACTTTAAACCTCCATGTATAACACAAAAAATCATTATATTTAAATTAATGCCCTTTTTAACATGGTTGTAGTGCATTAAAATAAAGATATAGATATTTGTTGTTGTGGATGGAAGCTTGAATTAACAAAATATTCATTCAACGTAACTTTTGGACGCGAATCCCTCAAATGTACTTAAACAATTTAGTACAAGTAGGCTGATCTTTTTTTTTTTTTTTTGTAGATACTCTTTCGTTATTACGTAATTGTCAACGCTGTGTAGGATTTTTTTAAAAATGTATATTTATCATTGGCTTTCTACACTGTTGTTGGTATTCTTGTTGTTCTTGTATTTATCGTTGTTATTGTTGTCATTATCATTTTTGTTGTGATTATATCATCATCATTAATATTTGCATTATCATTTTTATTATTATCATCATTATCATCTTCATCATTCATCAGTCATTTTTATCGCTATCATTATCATCAAAATCATTATTATTGCAAATGTAATTACCAGCACCATCGTTACCCTCATTATCATCAGTTTCATTATCTTCATCATCATGTTTATTACAATTACCAACATCATTACTAATATCATTATTATTAAGACTACTAACACCGTATTTAGCATGAAAAAGCTTTTTTTTGAAACAATTAAGCAAAGTAATTATTCTATGAGGCTTTCACTTTAATCAGCTGGGAAAAGGGTTGAAATAGCTTAGCAGTAATTTAAGGAAACGTGTACATACATGTTTTTCCTTTATTAATTCTAAAATAGCGTAAAATAAAACACGTTTGGGAGAGTTAGTTGACCAAAAAAAATCAGTATTAGACAGCTGATCCCTTTTGTAAACGATCGAAGTAGAATATTCGATCCTAATTTAACCTTGTATAAGTGAAGGAAAACCTGTATGAAGATTCAAGGGATAACGAACCGAAATATGGCCAGGATATTATATTCAACGATTAATAAAATCCTCGGTGAAACATTTTTCAAAAAAAAAAAAAAAAAAAAAGGTACTTAATAAACCGATAAAAGCAGATACACCATCTACAAATGAATCATTCATTTTGGGGAGAATTATTAGGTTCGTTATCCATAAATGGCGGGAAAGATTGCTTGCGTGTTTTTTTTCTTCTTTTCTTTTTTTTTATTAGACCGCGGAAAGTGTAATGATCAGTGACGCTAAGATTGCTTGCGTGTTTTTTTGTTTTTTTTTTTCTTCTTCTTTTTCTTTTTTTATTAGACCGCGGAAAGTTCTTTTTGTGTAAATGATTGGGAGAAGTGTAAGATTTTTAGGAGAGAGAAAGAGAGAAGGAGAGGAGAAAAACGAGATAGAGTTAGAATGGGAGGATAAAAAAGAGATAGAGAGAGAAAGGGAGGAGAAAAAAGAGATAGAGAGAGAATGGGAAGAGAAAAAAGAGATAGAGAGAGAATGGGAGGTGAAATAAGAGAGAGAACAATAGCAAGAGACAGAGAGAGAAATTGTATCAAAGAGGGAGAGAGACATAGAGAAAAATAGAGAGAATGAGAGAGGGAGGGAGAAAAAGTAATATATATAGAGAGAAATACAGAGGGTAGGAGAGAGGGAGGGAGAGCTGAGACAAAAAGATGAATAGATAAGAGTGAATAAAACATTACCAAAGCTTAAATAAAACAAGATAAATGTTTCCTTAACCTTTCATTAATGCTTTAATGCTATTCACCGTATTTAAATAAACAAAAAAAAAAAAAAACTAAACGCATGTGTGCACCGTAGTATAAACAAAATAGTAACGACGTATCTGGTTATTCGTAAAAAAAAAAACAATGGCTGAAAAAATACGCTGTTTGATAAAGTGTTTTCTGCTGCCTGATCGTTCGTGTATTTTATTCATCTCTGCTTTGCATTGAAAGACACTTGTAGTTGCATGATGCAGAGTGTCAACAATGCTGTAATGATAAGCACTTGGCATGCAGTGATATGCTGACAGTTGCGTGTTCAAGATGTGTGTGAAAGAGAAAGAGAGTGAGAGTGGAAATCATTATATATGTTCATATACATATATATATATATATATATATATATAATATATATATATATATATATATATATATATAGAGAGAGAGAGAGAGAGAGAGAGAGAGAGAGAGAGAGAGAGAGAGAGAGAGAGAGAAGAGAGAGAGAGAGAGAGAGAGAGAAGAGAGACAGAGACAGAGAGAGAGAAGAGAGACAGAGGGAGAGAGAGAGAGAAAAAGAAAGAAAGAGAGAAAAAAAGAAAGAAAGAAAGAGAGAAAGAAAGAAAGAGAGTTAAAAGAGAGCGAGGCGCGGACGAAAGCGAAGGCCCGACAGCGTGTACATACATACCCGACCTCCCTCGCAGCCGCCTCTGGGCCACCGCCGCTTCCTCTCCCTCTCTGACCTCCGCTCTCTACCCAGGACTCGCTCTCGACCCTCCGTGGCGAGCTCAAGGACTCCCAGGAACTCGTCGAGGAGAAGACCCGGATCGAGGACGCCCTCAGGAGAAGGACCAAGAAGCTGGAGGATGAGAGGACGTCCCTCACGCGCGACCTTGAGAAGCTGAAGGTAGAGAGGATCGGATCCTTCAGAGGAGGATTCTCGGGGGGTCGCTGGAAAGGGGGATTCGTGATCCTCTCTTGTTTTTTTTTGTTTTGTTTTGTTTTTTCCTTCTTTTTGAGATTTTTTTTTCTCCCGTTTGCGATAAGATTTCCCTTTTGGTTTTACTTTCTAGTTCAGAATTCATTGTCTCTCTCGTCATGCAATAAGGGAAGAGGGAGAGCATAGGTGGTGATAATGATGATGATAAGGGAACAGCAGACACAGAGAGAGAGGGTCGGTTCCCGCAGAGCCGTTCGGAGGAGCAGGCAGAGACGCTGAGGCATCAGCAGGACAGGATCCACGAGGCCTCCGAGCAGATCCTCCAGCAAAAGCAGAAGCAGGCAGAGGCAGACGAGCAGCTGAGCAGCCTAAAGGTTCGAGGGCAGGCAATAAGCCTTTGTTGTGCATGACGAGACTGCCTGACTGCCTGCCTGTCTTGGGCGTGGCAACACTGCATGACTGCATGCCTGACGTAGGCCTGGCAATATTGCCTGATTGTATGCCTGCCTTAGGCATGGCAGCGCTGCCTGACTGCCTGTCTTTTGCATGGCAAACTGCCTGAATGCCTGGAGTGAATTCAGCTTGAGCTTATACCTGCAACTTGCACGGAAGACGGATATGCAACGGGACTGCACGCGCACGCACTTACGTATGCACGCATGGACAGACACACATGCATTCATGCACGAACACACCAACGCACTCACAGATTATCGCTTAATGTTGTTAAAAGTAACCCTGTTTACGTAGATCTCCGACTCCGTGGAAGGCATGCCACAGGCGGACGTCATGTTCAAATTTGCATGAGTATTTACATCCGCAATGAGTAGCTTCTAAATACAAGTGGATTCTGGACTTCAGTTTCCTCTTGCATGCATTCAGGCAGCGTAGTTATTCTCCCGTTCGCGTAACAGATCGCATGCACTCGGATTCAAAAACGCGGCACGATGATTTGGAAAGCAAATGGGGAAAAAATTACTGTAGATTCACATGTGTGTTTACTTCCTTCTGCTTTAAGAAAGGTATCTATTATGGTCGCATTTTCCTCACGTATTGTTTTTTTCTGTTTTTAGATGTTAGCAACGAGTCTATTGTAAAAGTAGTGGGTACGGTATCTAAGGTATATTGAAAAGTACATTTTGATTGACGTTGATTTACTGGTCTTGGTTGATGGATAATTTTTCTTCATGCAAACTTTTTTTTTTTTTTAATAAAAGGTCCCTTGATAAGCCTATGCATAAGGGCTTAAATGAGGCTCGTAACAAGCTGTATTTAGACCTTATTAACATCTGCACAGAACCCGGTCTTCAACACAACTATCTTGACATTTCTTTTTTCTTCGGTTGCTTGTCACTGACGATGTCTGTTACTTGGTCATGTCAAGTCGCCTGTCTTTGCTTGTCTTGCATGTCTGTCTATCTGTTTCTCTCTTTCTCTCTCTCTCTCTCTCTCTCTCTATCTATCTATCTATCTATCTATCTATCTATCTATATATCCCGCTCTCTCTCTCTCTCTCTCTCTCTCTCTCTCTCTCTCCTCTCTCTCTCTCTCTCTCTCTCTCTCTCTCTCTCTCTCTCTCTCTCTCTCTCTCTCTCCTCCTCTCCCTCTCCATTTCGTAGTCTTTCCTTCCAATCCACACACTTCCATCTCCTCTTCCTCCTTCCCTCCCTCTCCTCACCCCTCACCTCTCCCTCCTCCAACCCCTTCCCTCTCCCCTCACCCCTCCCTCCTCCCCCTCACCCTCACCTCCTCCAACCCCTCCCTTCCCTCACCCCACACCCCCCCTCCTCCTCCTCCCTCCCTCTCTCCCCTCACCCTTCCCTCCTCCCCCTTCCACCCTTCCCACTCACCCCTCACCCTCCCCCTCCCTCTCCCCCTCCCCCTCACCCCACACCCCACCCTCCTCCAACCCCTCCCCCCCTCCCTCCTCCAACCCCCTCCCTTCCCTCTCCCCTCACCCCACCTCCCCCTCCCCACCCCCTCCAACTCCCCCTCCTCCCCACCCTCCTCCCCTCCCTCCCTCCCACCCTCCTCCCCCACCCTCCTCCAACCCCCTTCCTCCCCCTCCCCTCTCTCCCCCTCACCCCACCCTATTTAACGCCCTCTATATTCCCAGGGGAGAAGTGGGTCGCCTCAAGGAGCAGCTCAACCAGAAGGAGGAGCAGCTGAGCGAAGTCAAGGGACAACTTGAAGGAAAAGCCTCAGACGTAAATGATCTCTCGGTAAGGATTTCTTTTGTTAGTGTATGAGTAAGTAAA